TCCACTCAATGTCAAAATCTGAACTACTTTTCGCTGTCATGAGCTGATATAAATGGGAATGCTAACAGATCGATTCCACCAGGTATTATAGACCTGTCTTAATTAAAGTTCATAATAAAAAAACACTGTGTAGGCAGTAGACAGCAAGACAGCTCAGTGTGACAGGAACAGAGAGAAGAAGAAAAATAAGGGAAACATCCCACAAGGTAGAGCTGAGGAAAAAGTGGGACAGAAAAACACGGACTATAAAGACAGTATGAGGAAAGAGAGGCAGTGATAGTCCGGATGGGAGTGTGTCCGAATGTCGTGGAGCGGCTGAGCTCTGCTCAATGACTGATAAGGGCTCCGAAAGCAGGACAGCAGCTCTGGCAGAGGACAATGTCTTTAAGGACACCAGCAGGAGACGGATGGACAGTAAACCACATTAAAAACACACCAACTCTCCTGTTCACTGACAGAGAGAGATGATGATGGACAGGTAACAGAGAATCAGTCTCAGGGCTTTAATTCGAGAGGCTTTCTCATACTCTCTCACATCTACTGTTCGTCCTTGACCGTTTTTCACATACTGAGCAGAAACAAGTGACCCATGAACGCTTCAAAGCATGTTACACACACCACGGTCAACATTGAGAAGGGATTTAAAAAAATAACAAAATACATTAAAAAAGAAAAGACATACAAACCAGAGTTTGTTTCATCATCGGAACAGATTTTGAGAAATTTAGCATTACGTCACTTGCTCACCAATGAATCCTATGTAGTGAATGGGTGCCGTCAGAATGAGAGTCCAAACAGCTGATAAAAACATCACAATAATCCACAAGTAATTCACAATATCTTACAAACACGTAGCTTGTCACTTCACAAGACATTATCTGATTAACTAGAGTCATGTGGATTACTTGTGGATTATTGTGATGTTTTTATCAGCTGTTTGGACTCTCATTCTGACGGCACCCATTCACTGCAGAGGATCCATTGGTGAGCAAGTGATGTAATGCTACATTTCTCCAAATCTGTTCTGATGAAGAAACAAACTCGTCTACATCTTGGATGGCCTGCAGGTGAGTAAATATTTAGCAAATATATAATGCTACATTTCTCCAAATCTGTTCTGATGAAGAAACAAGCTCGTCTACATCTTGGATGGCCTGCAGGTGAGTAAATATTTAGCAAATATTAATTTTTGGGTGAACCATTCCTTTAAATTAAATAAGAAACTGCAAAACATCTAATAATTTACCACATAAAATCTCACAGCAATAGTAAATAATTAATACTTATCATACAGCTCTCTGGACTACTCAGTTCTGATTAGTCAATCATAGCATTTGATGTCATTTTTTTTAAACGATTCTAATCATTCCACACTCTTTCTTCTCACATAAAGAAGTAATTTTAACTCGAATATTTAATGTGCATTTATTTACTTAGTATGCTGCCGTGCAATAAGCAGAATAATGCACAGTCATCTAGTCATGATTGCAAAATAAACACCCTCAGGATGAAACAATACTTGCTGGGGTTTAATTAGCCATAATGACCAGCTGACTGAACATTATGCCTTATATTAAATGAAGGGCAATCATTCAAATGTCAAATACTGAGCATTTTTACCCTTAGACAGGTACAAATAGTGTACTGCATGAGTTCAGTAGTCTCTAAATCAGGCACTCAGTGCGTTCAGAACTGAATCCCATAGGTCAAACTAAACCTCCAGACTGCATTCGCTCCAGTGGGAAAGACTCTACGCTCTCCTCTCTTTCCCTGGAGGATGTTTGCAGTTCAAAAAGGCATTAGGTTACAAAATCAACTTCTCCAGCCAATAAAAAGGTCAAAGCAGAGTATGAATCACTGGGAGGAAGCAGACATTTCAAACGCCCACTTCCTTCACGGTATCTGCTACGGTTAGAGATGGGAATCGTACAGAATTTTAAATTTTTAAATGATTCCAGAATCCTTAACAATTCCTTTAACAGTTCTATTTTTGAACAATATTTGAGAAAGTAATTGCATCAGCATCCTGATGTTAAATAACATTACGGACACTTGGGAGCAGCATCTTCGGCGGTTGCGGACATTGTTTGAGCGTTTAGCCGAAGCGCACCTGACAGTGAACCTGTTGAAGTGTGAATTTGCCCAAGCTACAGTGAAGTATTTGGGTAAGGAGGTTTGGCAGGGCGTGGTTCGTCCTCTCCAAGCGAAGGTGTCGGCCATTGAACGATTTCCTCCTCCAGTTACTAAAAAAGAGTTGATGCGTTTTTTAGGTCTCGTTGGTTATTATCGAAGTTTTTATTCAAATTTTTCTACAGTTGTTTCGCCGGTGACTGATTTGTTAATAGGCTCTACAAAGTTTGATTGGACTCTTAATTGTCAAAGGGCTTTTGACAATGTGAAAATGTTGTTAGGGACAGCTCCAGTCCTTATGTCGCCCAGGTTTGATCGACCTTTTAAAGTCCAGGTCGATGCAAGCCAGACAGGAACCGGCGCCGTTTTGTTGCAAACAGACGAGGGTGGATTGGAGCGCCCTGTATGCTTCTTTTCTCGAAAATTTAATAAACATCAGAGAAATTATTCTGTGATCGAAAAAGAAGCTTTAGCCTTGATTTGGGCGCTCCAACACTTTGATGTTTATGTCGGAGGAGGCGCAGAGGTGATGGTATACTCTGATCATAACCCCCTGACATTTTTGCATTCATTGCAGAGTTCCAATCAGCGTTTGATGCGGTGGGTTTTATTTTTACAACCGTATAATTTGAACATTCGGCATATCAGAGGAGTTGACAACGTTATAGCTGATGCGTTGTCCCGTACTTTTTCGCTGTTTGGTACCGACTGATTCTTTTTGCTGTCCGCTGTTGACTGATTCCGATGCTCTTAACTTTTCTTGACTCATTACTACTTTCTTTCTCACCTTAAATGGCTTTCAGGATCCAGATTGCTGGAGGGGAAGAGGAGGTGGTAGGTGAGGTGGAAGGGTTAGATGAATCTTTTCAATTATAATTTTAAAAGTTTATGAATGTTATTTTGAGGTAATTTGATATATGTAATTTGTTTTGTTTATGGATTTTTGGGTGTGTTTTTGAAGGGGGGGGTGTGTGTGACGTCCCAGTTTAGGCTGTGCGTGCACTTGTGGGGTGTGTGTGTTTTAGGTGCCGATTGGAGGGGGTGTGGCTCGCACACCTGACACTTGTTGGACGCAGAGTTTAAGAGTGCCTGGCGTGTGGTTTGCGAGATCGTCTCCTGCGTGGAGCTCAACGGTTCGTGTTGTGCTGCGTGTCCTGGCCGACCCTGGCTCGTTTCCTTCGTTTATGCTACATTTATGTTATTTTCTGTTGTTAAAATAAATGTTTTGTTAAGTATTGTTGCTTCTGGACTCCTCTTTGTTGCAGCCTAAGAGCCGGCTGTAACAATAGGAAGGACTGGAATGGACAGAACTGGTGGATTTCTTTGAAATTACTACACTGCACTTAACTGGACAGGAGCTGATGATAGACTGGACTGGGCTATACTAATTTAAAGTGAACTGGACTGGACTGGATTTGAATGGGCAGGACTGTACTAGTATGGACTGAATTGCATTAGGCTAGATTAGATGTCCTCGATTTATAAAGTGGACTGGAATTGATAGACTAGACTGAACTAGAAGGGATTGAACTGGACTATAAAGGGAAGGATTGGACTAGCATGAACTGAAGTGGGCTAGGCTAGATTAAATGACCTCAACCTATAAACTGGACTGGATTTGATAGACTAGACTGTGCTAGATTACTTTGGAATGAATTGGATTGGACTGGACTAGAAGGGATTGAACTGGACTAGAAAGGGCAGGACTGGACTAGAATGAACTGAAGAAGGCTAGGCTAGATTAAATGACCTCAACCTATAAAATGGACTGGACTACCTTGCACTGAATTGGAAGTTGATGATAGACCTTAACCTATAAACTGGAGTTGATATTAGACTGAATTGGATTAGACAACGTTGGACTAAATTGGATTGGACTGGGCTGGACTGGACTAGAATGGGCAGGACTGGACTAGCATGGACTGAAGAGGGTTAAGTTAGATTAGATGGCCGCAAACTATAAAATGAACTGGACTACACTGCAGTGAACTGGACTGGAGATGGTTTTAGTGGACTAGATTGACAGGGCTAGTCTACAGTGAACTGAATTAAACTGGACTAGAATGGACTGAACTGGACTATAATGGGCAGGAATGGACTAGTATGGACTGAAGTGGGTTAGGCTAGATAAGATGGCCTCTACCTATAAACTGGACTGGAGTTGATGATAGACTGGATTTTTTAAATGACTTTGGACTGAAATGGATTGGACTGGACTAGAATGGACTGAAGTAGGTTAGGTTAGATTGAATGGCCTCAATCGATAAACTGGACTGGGTTATACTGCGCTGAACTGGAGTTGATTTTATTGGACTACATTTACTAGGCTAGACTATTGAACTGAATTAGAATGGACTAGAATGGAGTGAGGCAAACTGAAATGGACCTGTATGGACTGAAGTGGGTTCGGCTAGATTAGATGGACTCAACCTATATACTGGACTGGTTTAGACTACTTTGGGCTGAATTGGATTGGACTGAACTGGTCTAGAATGGGCCCCAACTTATCATAAAATAGTTTTCTGTCATTATAACTCTTGTTTTGGACAAATACTCAAGTGTTTCAGCCTGAAGTGTTATTTATATGATAGACACCAGAATCTGGCTCCTGGATTGCAGGCTATTGTATCAGAAATCTTTTCTCTAGCCCTGGGCAAATCAATGTGTCAGCAGTCCAGTCAGCCTTTGACTCCCACTGTGAGAATTGGCTTCTCCAAGGAACAAATACCCTAATTCCTTGCTCACATGAATTTGGATGTAGGGCAGTTTCTATAGCGCCAAACAGCACAAGCTCCACTATCTGCGGACAAGAGTCAAAGACATTCTGGCACCAGCCTTGCATTAAAAAAGGAAATTTATTGTTGTGGCGACATAAATATTGAAAGCCCAATTCCCCATAGTGGTAAACACAGTGCTTTCTGTCAATACTGACATGAAAAGTGAAACATTAGAAGAAAATAATCACGCATGCAGCTCCCATCTTTTCAAACATTGAGCTGGATCAAGCCGGCTGAAGATGCTCCCCGGATGAGCGCGATGGCCTGGCGTGTTTTGTTGTGAGTTTAAACTTCTTCATTCTTTCACCCAAAGGGACTGCTGCAGTCTGGCCTATAAAAAACCCTCTCACAGGGAGAGAGAGAGAATCATTCTGGGAGATTTCCTCTCTGGCGTAATTACGCACACAAATTTTATGTGACAGTGAAAGAGAACTAGACAAGGATAAGTGAGATAGCGGTGCAGGGTTCAACCTAGAAACTAATCAGTGAAATTAAATTACGTTATGAGACAAACAAGCAAAAACCAAAGACTGAAAGGAGAAATCACTACCATCAAGATGACGCAACACATTTAAAGGGACAGTGTTTAACCCTTGTGTCGTGCCATACCTGTATGACTTTCTTTCTTCTGTAGGACACACAAAGCATATGGTCTACATTTATGGTAATTTAATGGTGTTTCTTCTTTTTTGTTCTGGAGAAGAACGAAAGTCATGCAGGTTTGGAACGACATGAGATGACACAAAACGACAGAATCTTTCTTTTTCGGGTGAACTATCCCTTTAAATTCTGACATACTGTAGAGTTGAACAGAAAATTCAAATGGAGGAACCCAAACCCATGGCTTGGGAATATTTATTGGTGCAATTCTGTCATATTATTTGGGAAAACGTCATTAAGAATTTCAGGCCATTTTCCATTTTAAATAAGTTTGCGCCTAAACCAAGCTTTCCTGTTAGTACTGGCAGTACCACCGCTCCCTATACGCAGAGTACGCAGTTTGCGTAGGGCACCAATTCCCAGGGGGGCACCATCCCAGTTGCTCAAAAAACAAACAAACAACAAAAAACTATTTTCGTTCTATATTAATATTAAAATTAACATATACATATACATATACATAAATAAATATCTAAATATGAACATATATATATATATATATATATATCATTATAAAAATGCATTTTACGGTGAACGCGGTAAGCAGTAGGCTAAGCACACCTGATGCGCCATTCCCGCTGATCTATATATAACTGAACCGCGCTCTGGCCCACCTCCTCCAACCGAGCCAGGCCCAGCTAAACGAACCGCGCCCCCGAGCGCGGCACGGAACGATCACACTAGTCAAACGAACCGGACTTTGGGGGTCAGACGCGCTCGGGCACGGTTAAGATTGGCTAGTGTGAGTACACTCTTATTCTCCCGCATCCCGCACACGACACACGAGTCTCGCCCATCAAGTGTTGTTCCGCGCTGTACTCTGCTGCGTTAGGTCCCGCGATAGTGCAGGTCTCTAAGGCGCCTGTTATAATGTTATGATCGAGGCTCTGGACTCTGAGCATAACTTGTTTTTCTATAACAAACTATAAAATATTTTCTATAAAAACGTTAATGCCCTGGCAGTGGCAAATAGCTTTGGTTTTATATTTAATTTGATTACATTAATGTTATAAGCTGAGATTTGCAAGAAATATTTTAACTGCTATGTAAAAGGAATACTGCTGTAAAAAGCACCTTATTTGTTTAAAGTGTTTGCAAACCAAATGTTATTGCACTTTTGTTCATATAGCAGTACTTTTAAATGAAAAAAGTGCATAATACACTACTTTTGAATTAATTATTGAATTTTGTGCATAATGTAATTAATCGCAGAAAATCATGCGATTAATCGCGATTAAAAAAAAAATGTAATCGTTGCTCAGCACTAATATATATATATATACAGGGCCTAAAATTAACACTCGCCAAGCGCCAAATGCGAGTAAAAATTGGCGTTGGTGAGTCCATGTAACAGTGTCAGTCGCCAGTTGGCGGGTACAACTTTTACGAATTATAACAATGCAATGAAGTGAAAATAACAGCCAGTTTTTAAAGAGATTCGCTGTTTCTGACATAAGATATATATAAGAATAAAATTATCTTTTCCGAAGACAAGATCATCGTGATTAGCTGTTCTGTCATGAGCGACAAGAGTCACAAGAGATATCAAATAATAGGATACAAACGGGCTGATAAGGTCAGAGAAGTGTGATGGCCAGCTTGTCCCTAGACACAGTTCTAATAACTTTTACCTGAAAAGATTTTGCTGCTTCATTTCGGAAGATTAACTTTTCCCTTCTTTATTCTTCATAACCCGAGAATGCGGCGATACATACCTGGGGTTATGCTGCCTAAACGGTGCAGTGAAGTATAGTTTGAAAGGCTGCGCGTTCGGCTGTACACATACGCTGAGCCGCTTCAGACAGCGCACCAGTAGTGCTTCAACGGACGAAAACACATACAATTATTTCAAAAATGCGAGGTTTTGGATAGTAATATAACTTCTAATGCCAACTGCCAAATATGACACTTACAAATTAATACAATTGATGAACGCACATAAAAAAAGAGAGAAAGTAGGGATTTTTCTTTTTTCATTGTTTTATTTTTTATACATATCTATTTTGTCGTTTTTTCTGACCATTGGTGTCAGTCACTCTCAATGCCAACTGGCAGGAAAACATGGTAAATTCAAAACATTTTTTACAATAGATAAAGTGCCGACAAGTCATAAAACTATTTCCACACAGTGCATAGCGGACGGGCACGCAGGGCATGCCCCGAGTGTTGGGGGGCCCCGTGATAACCTCCCCGTGCTGAATTGCTTCATATCATGTGTTGACAATACCCAGAGTTATTGTCAAAAGCATCAAATATTGGCAATATTAAGAGGATTTAGAATTTCCAATTAATGTAGGCCTGTGTATTTTTCTTTATTCTTCATAACCCGAGAATGTGGCGACACATACCTGGGCTTATGGTTTTAATAAGTCATCAGGTTTTAAAGAAACAGTGCTGCTTTTAAAGTAAAACCTGCTAAAGTCTGTCATTGATGTAAATCAAAAATATATATATATACACACACACACACACACACACACACACAGAGAATTTAAAAAAAAAATTTTTTTTAAACAACTTAAGGGTGAATAAATAAATCTTCATTTTTGGGGTGAATTATCCAGCGTTTTTTTGCAGTTGTAACGTGCAAAATCCTGAGCAATCTGGTTTGCTTCGACTACTTCTGCAGGTTTTGCAAAACAGAAATGAGACATGAAGGACAATATAGTTTACTAAGAGTAGATAAACTAAGAAGAATATAAAAACATAATGCTCTCTCCTCTGTTGGACACACTACAGTATCGATCAACACAAGACAACAACAGCAAACCACATTTAATACTGAATCAACTGAGAAATGACACATTATTCAGTCCAGTTTTGACTGCCCCATCATTCTGACTGACAGGTTGCTTGTCTAAGCAGACCAGCTGATTTCCAGACTTGCGGAGCTGCTCGTACTCGCAGCGAATCTTCTGTAAACTGTACAGCCACATCCCAGTCCCCGCTGCTGATTCCCGACAGCACTGCCTAAACTCATTTTCCCACGCCTGTCACAAATTTCTCTGCGAACAGAATGGTGGTCCTTTTCCGCCTCACGAGGAGTTTGCCGGCGGATGAAGGCATTTGCAATTCAAATCCACACCTCAGACACTCGGGTAGTAGATTGTTTGCAGGATTCAATATACCTGAACACAAAGCACCTGTTGCCTCGGAGGAAATTAAATATCTCCTAACAAGCCTCCGTATTTCTCTCTCACAAATGGATTGTGTAAATGCTCGGCTCAGATGAGGGACGGGTCAGCCAGGCCTGCTGGGATTCCAGAAAGCGGAATATTGATCAAAGAGCATTTCCTGGATCTCGTGTGTGTGTGTGTGTGTGTGTGCTGTAGTGACACTGCTGACTGAGCATGCTGAATTATATATGTCAGACTGAATGTCTGACCACTTAAGACAGTCATTTATCAGGCTGTAGTCGGACAGCACTTTAGGGGAAATCTTCTAGCCTCACAGGGACAGACTTTATAATGAGATAAATAAAGAGTGGGTGTTTCACAGAGTTTGATACTCTGCATTTATGTGGGATAATGGGATATGTAGAGTGCATCTACCAGGGTCATGCGCTATACAGAACTGAACTATGAATGCCTTTAAAGTCCAATTTAATTCCTGAATTTGAATCGAGGAAGTAAAATGGGATGCAGAAGTTTGAATGTGAATGAAAGCAAAATGAACTGAAATTCAAAGAAAATCATATAACTAATTTTTAACTAGAAAAGCAAAGTTTGAATAGCTTTGAAGTTAGAAGGTTTATAGCTTTTACAGACCGAATGCCTGATAGAACGACAGAACGATCAATAGACAGACAGACAGACAGACAGACAGACAGACAGATAGACAGACAGACAGACAGACACACAGATAAGATAGATAGATAGATAGATAGATAGATAGATAGATGACAGTATATATAATAAAATGACAGTGTTATACTGCTGTCACTTCGTATTTGAGTGGGCAAAAATAGAAGGAAAATATAATAATATTTCTTGTTGCTATTATTCATACTTCAATAATTCATACATGAATAATTCAAATAATTCATAATTCAATAATTAGTAGTATAATATTTATAATAATTAATAAATAAATAAAAATTGTCATCAGAACTGGCATAATACACCATTAAAAGGAGCATTTACTCACACTTCTATGGACAGTGATGGCATAAATGTAATTTAATTTTCTCAAAATTGCAGGAAACAGTGTATCATTCTCAGCCATACCTGAAAAACGGGCAACAACAACAACAAATGAAAGGTGGTGCAATACTAAAGTGCTGGTGTAAAAGCAAATAAATAATGCATGTAGCGTTTTATGATAATCAGATATGGATTTCATCACAACTACACCACACTAAAATTATGTAAAAATCATGAATATTAATATTTTATTTATACATGAAAACAACAACTCTCAAACCCTGCCTAAGACTGCTGTGCGTTTAAAACTTTTACAGTATGTAAATGCCCTCTGTGTTTGCATGCAAAATGAGAAACAGGTCTAATAAAATGCAGCAGCTCGCTTTAACATTGAGATCCTTCTGAAAGATCTGCAGCTGCTACACAACACGTATCAGAGTATGTTTTGACCTGACTTTAATTAGTGTTGCCAGATCTTGGTAGAAAAAAAGAACAAGCCCATAATAACCTCAAAACCAAATGTTTTATCTTAGACATAAGCCACATAATTAAATATCATGACCGGCACCTGCCTACTTTATTAACACCATCAACTGGATCGCTTTATGAGTCGAGCAAAAAAACAAGCCCAAAGATGCTTAATAAGCGTCGCTTATAATATGTGGACATGGCAACCCTTCAAAAGCGCGCTCTGCTAAACAGCTTTCCAAAATTAAACAAAACTCTACGGCTCTGTCAACGGTGGTTTAGTTAAACTTGCCAAACATAACAAGTCTTTGTTTTATTTACAACTTCGAAAAATCCTTTTTTTTTTTTATTGTGTTTCTAAATCATGAACAACTAAGAAACCTTGACTAATTTTACATTGATCTGATAAATGCAGTCTCTCTTTAGTTCTTCTGCTGTTCAATAATAACAGTATCTATCCTACAGTACTTGCTCCTTTTTACCCCATCATGACTGGATGGACAAATTTTTTGAACACCAGAAAGGCATTGTGGATGTGGGTGGTCTTGGTCTGACGTCAGAACGTGTGGAGGAAGTCTTGAGTACTGAACATTACAGTATGTTTTGATGGCACATTGAACTCAATTGGCTCAAAAGACCAAGGAAAATTTGATTGCTCATGGAATGACCTCTTAAAGGGGTCATATGATGCGATTTCAATTTTTCCTTTCTCTTTGGAGTGTTACAAGCTCTTGGTGCATAAAGAAGATCTGTAAAGTTGCAAAGACTAAAGTCTCAAATCCAAAGAGATATTCTTTATAAAAGTTAAGAGTCAACCACGCCTACCTAAAACGGCTCGTTCTAACACCCCCATCCCCCAACTGACGCGTTTCAGAAAGGCGGGGCATAGAGGAGAAACAATAATGTACAGTATGTGGAAAATAATGTGTTTTTTGAACCTTAAACCACATAAACACATTTCATTACACCAAATACACAAAATAATGTTCTTTTTAGCAGCATCATATGACCCCTTTAAAGAATAATTTCAGTGTGTAAAAATTGAGAGGCCAGTAAAATGTGTGTGTGTGTGAGTCTGATTGTCTCGGCATGATTTCCATTATTCATTGTTCTGTGAGTGGCTCTAATTGTAACATCATTACCAGCTTGAGTTCTAATAACTGCCCCCCGAATCCTCATTCACTCTGACAGATCACTTCAAGCACCATTAAAACAATTATCTAAAGAAGACTAGCACTGATTCATATTCCCATAATGCTCTGTAATTACGCATCACTGATATGTGGATGTGTCCTGAATCTTTGAAAACAGTCCTTATTTTGTCTCTCTTCTATTTTAAAGTAACTAAAGTAAAACTGCAGCACAAATTTTGAAGGCTTCTAAAGGAAATGAAAGAAGAGTTTTGCTATGAGAAAAAAAAAAGATTTTATTACAGTGAATTACAGAAGTGCTGTTATTGCACTATAATTCATAAGTCATTTTAAGCTTTTTTACTGCACTGCAGTATTTTTAATAGAACAAGTGTCACACCGGATGGCTTTTGCAGCATTATTGCATAAAACTCTGTTTAAAGGGGCCATGTTGTGTAAAACAATGTTCTTTGCCAAACTTTAACTATGGCAATAAAAAACACTTCCTTTCATATTTTCAATTTTCATTTTCAACTTTACTTAAAGTTTCTGTAATTTTGTCGTTTTTGTCATTTTTAGAAGTTTATTTATCTCTTTTTATAGATTTTTATTTCCGTTTTAGTTATTTTAGTACTTCAAAATGAAAAATAAAATAAGTTTGATATAAAATAAATCTATAATATAAATATTTTTGTAACATTTTATTTTAGTTAACATTTATTTTATTTCAAGTATAGACCTTTTTTTTATAGTTTTAGTTTTAGTCAACAGTAATATCCCTCATTAATATATGATCACCTACTAGGGATGGGCGGCACTTCAAAAACAACTCATCCAATCAGAATTTAGAGTCGAAACTATCGGTTGTTTGTGTTTCTTCAGGACTAGCTTTTGCTGATCCCAGCTTCTCAAGAGCTCAAAAGGCCTTTTTGGATGTCGACCATGTTCAGTATGATTACTGTGTTTGTAAGGCAGCATTCAGCTCGAAACACTTAACGTACAAGCTCCATTCAGACCGTCCTCTAGCATTTCTGCAGTGTTACTGTTCCTGTAGCTCAGGTAAAGTACTAACCTTGACACTAACAATGCCGAGATCACGGCTTTCGACTCCTGATAAAACACACTGAATGCTTCAGGTACAAGCACCAACTAAACAAATATGTAAATACACTGCAGTTCAAACATTTGGGGTGGGTAAGATTTTTTAATGTTTTTGAAAGAAGCCCTTATGGCTGCACTTATTTGATCAAAAATACAGTAATATTGTGAAATATTTGTACATTTAAAATAGCAGTTTCCTTTGTGAATATATTTTTAAAAGTAATTTATTCCTGTGATGGTAAACTTTCAGCAGACATTTCTCCAGTCTTCAGTGTCACATGATCCTTCAGAAATCTTTCTAATATACTGATTTGCTGCTCAAGAAACTTTTCTTATTATTAGCAATGTAGAAAACAGTTGTGTTGATTATTATTTTTGAGGAAACTGTGATGCATTTTTTTCAGGATCCTCTGATGAATAGAAAGTTCTGAAGGACAGCATTTATTTGAAACAGAAACCTTTTGATTGATTGAATCTATTTTTGCTGAATAAAAAATATTTTCTTAAAAAAATAAAAAATCTTACTGAGCCAGACATTTGAAAGGTAGTATATTTTGTCTTGAAATGTCATCTATTTCTGTTTTTTTTTTTTCGATTGCTGTTTGAGCTACAGACACAATTATTCACACTGGAAGCAATTTTTCAATATATATTGCTTGCTTATACAATATTATGTTATTATAAGTTAAATATTGCTTACAAAAAAAAAAAAATTATATATATAAATGACAGGTTTTATGCCCATTTATCAATATACTTTTGCTGCCTTACATAAAAAAAATATATGTATATTAAAAAAATAGTTTTTTTTTTATCAACAAGGTTTACAAGCACAAAAATATATTTATATTTATGGATATTCAACACTATTATTTTGCTGACTACAAAAAAAATTATTATATATGCTCCTTCAGCTCTATTCTTTTGGTGTATTGCAAGCATTGGTATTCTGTAAAGAAAATGCAAATCTAGCCATATTAGCATATCCATATAACAAAGTGGAAATTACGTATTATATAAGAATGCTATAAGATCATACAACAGCATTCCTACAATATTACATGAGCTTGTGTGTGTGTGTGTTACCTGTCTCTCTGTGAGCTGAGGAAACACAGCAGATGACAGGCCCAGAGCAGCGGTCCTGCGTAGGTGCTCAGCGCAGTCAGGAAAATGGCAGGTGCTTCTACGTAACTCTCCAGACCCACAAAACCCACAGAGATGTCCACCGTCCCAATGTTATTAGAGTTTCCCTGAAGAGACCATATAACATAAACACAAACAGTTGACATACATTTTAACATTTTATAAAGACCCCAAAAATGTATTTGTCATGGCTGTCTGGAATAACATGATGGTGAGGGGAATTAATATTTTGGAGCTAGGGGCTTGCTTGTATAACAAAGTTATTTAATACTTTGTGCTAGGGGCTTGTATTGTAAATATATGCTCATTAGGGGTACGCTAGTAATTAAATGCTAAATTAAATAAATGTGGATGAACATCTCAATAAAACTGAAATCTTGATATAGCATTGTGAGATTATAAAATCAAAGGCAGAGATTTTATTCAATATTTATATAGTCTTTTGGGCTGCATTTCATTTTGGGAATGCAATGTGCGCCACGTTCACTTTATTTACACGTTTGCATAATTTCCAGCATTTCTGTGGATAGAAGTTTACAGTACTTCAACAGGATTCCACCAAAATAAAAGCTTGAGGATCTGAACGATTGAAAGTGGAGAATTTAAGATATAAATATTAATATTGTAAATTCCAGTGTAAAATAAATTATTATAACTATCAACTACTCTTTTTTTAATTTCACAGGATAATTTACAATTTAATTTACAACAGTAATATATTTATATCTTAATTTTTTATAGAGTTAAATACTACTACTGATTATTATAATTATTATTATTATTATAAAGCGAAATAACTTTAAAATAAAAACAAATCAAAATAAAACACTAACTAAAAAAGTTTTTTTAAATCCCTATATAATATGTTGAGACATATATATGTAAACAATTTAAACAAAATAATAATAAAAAAATAAAACAGTTGCTAAAAAAAACATTCATGTCATTTGACCATTAACCAACATTAACCATGGACACGCGAATGTGTCATTAAATGATTTAAACAATAACCTAAAATTTCAAGCGGGATTTCAGGTAAATATTTTACGTCTGAGGGGTTCAGCTGACAAAGAAAGTTTGGAAACGGCTGATATAAACAGTAGTAAAGTGATGCAGCAGAGATTTGAGGTAGGGATATGCCGGTATCAAATTTTCATGTTGCGATTAATTGTTAATGCTTTTATCACGGTATACGGTATTATCACGATATTGAAATTTAGTTTTAATTGTGCATTTTGACCAGTTGATGGGAAAAGTATTCTTAAAATGCATTCAAAATTCTGAATAATTTGTAATATATAATTATTCACGGTATTTAGAAGTGCCCACGATAACAATATCGTGCATATTCATTACCGTGATATATCGCATTACCGAATACCAGCACATGTATAGTTTGAGGCATCCTGCAGTTATTCAGGTGTGATGAGAGAAGCGCCGTGTGTTTCTAGTCTCTGCTGACAGACTCGAGTCTGAGGGTCCCTCGGCTGATAGACGGATGAGGAAGAGGGGAAATAAACTAACATATCCTGCTCTTTCCTGTCAGTGGCTCACAGGTGGCTGTGCCTGTCACTCCGGCTGCTCCTGTCAGGACAGGCAGATTGGAAAATCCTCCTTCTCAACGCTCTCCTCTTGCCTCTCTTAGTCCCATTATTTCATGCTAGTTTGCAGTGACAGGGTGGGGGCGGAAAAAGCGCCTGGCCTGACAAAATGAGCTAAATCAATGTGACAATTTACAATTAACAATCACTTCCACCCTGCTTAATGGCTAGAAAGAGAGAAGAATATATCCGTCCTTTGACAGTTCCGTTGCATTGACCCTGACTGTCCTTTTGATGATGATGTCATTGTCAAGCACATAATTCCATGCTCGGGCGCTTTAAATGATAATTGGCCAGTAAAGCACCGTTTATGACCCTTAATTACACACACACACACACACACACACAACTCAGCTCTGATTTGATTTGATTTACTCTTGATGTATCATTATAAACCTGATTATTTTGATCAGGTTTATAAACAGTCCACCTGTCTGCCAGTGGTCGGACAAAAAGTTTGGTGACTTTTATTTCATGTCTGTCAGTTTTGATGTCATTTTATACTAATGTTTGTCATTTATACTAAAAGTTTTGAATAATTACAAATATGCAACGTTTTGAAAAGAAGTCTCTTCTGCTTACCAAAACTGCATTTATTTGATGAAAAAATAAAAAAAAGTAAAAACAGTAATATTGTAAAATATTATTACAATTTAAAATAATTTTCTATTTGATATTTTAAAATGTAATTTATTCCTGTGATGCCTTATTATCAGCAAGGACGCATTGAATTGATCAAAAGTTACAGTAAAGACAGTTATAATGTTACAAAATATTTCTATTACATTATTCATCAAAGAATCCTGAAAAAATGCATCACAGTTTCCACAAGAATATTAAGGAAAAAAATTGTTTTCAACACTGAATTAGCTTGTATTTTTATATTTTCAGTTTTAATTTTAGTTTAGATTTTAGCAATTTTGTTGTGTACTTGTGCCATTTTTATTTATTTATATTTAACTTTAATTTAGGTTTAATTTATTTTCACTTCAGTTTTAGTTTTAGTAATTTTAGTATTTTAACATAACTTTTTATTTCAGTTAGTTGCCAAGACAACATTTTTAATTTTAATTTTAAGTTTTTTTTATGTTTTTTTCAAGGCAACATTTCTAAATAGTATTTATGTTTAATATTTTCCTAATATTTATATTTTATTGTAGTTTTTTTCAGTTAAAAATGTTTTAATGGTTTTAGTTTACAATAACACTGCATCAGAAAGTCAAAAGTACAGTTTTGCATGTGTACAATTTTGTTAGTTAAACCATACAAAAACATTTACTTTCTATACTTGCTTCCCATTTTTACCGCCTTTGCTTCTTCATTAACTACTCTCAATGGTGGTATTACAACGTTGATAACACAAACATAACAAGATTCTGTGCCAAATAGCCCGAATCATTCTTATTCACGATTTCAATGTAAACCATTCATCAATCCAATGTGAAAAGTGTTCAAACTCTTGATGGAATCAAACTTGGGTTTGGGCCGAGCGATCGACCCGAATGTGTAAAAACATCCTGAGAACAATGAAACTGCAATTATTTAATCAATATGCATTAATGGAGGAAACCAGACCTCTATTGTCTACACTTAACAAAGCCATTCTTATAGATGCTCTCCTCTCCTCATTACCTGAAAGTAGAAGAAAGCCTGGCCGAACCAGCAGTGCATGATGGTGGTCTGGGCGGCATCGTAGTGGAGCTTCTTCCAGATGAACTGAGCCATGATTGTCTGGATGACCAGACAGCAGGCCAGCGTGGGCAAATTATGAGCTCTGAACAACAGAGCCACCAATAACACCACGCCACTGTACACTTCCCACAGTCCCCTGCTCTTCAGCCGCCTGCTGTCCACCGCTGACGACATCATCTGCGAACGCAACAGGTCCTTCACGCCGATGAATAAGATACCAAGGACGAAAACGTAGACGAATCGCGCCTCAACGGTTCCCCTGAAAGAGAACGTGAGAAAAACAGAAGGAAAGATTCTTGTTTAGGATCATTGAAGACACTCACTTTTTCACCGCTCTCTTTCTAACACACGGAAGAATCAATATCGACTGCAAGCACCCTTTAGTTTGAAGGCTCGTCTTCATCTCGGGCAAAGCTTGTGAAGTCTGGAGAGAATCAATAACAGTGAGGTTTGGCGCTTTGCAGCAGAGAGCAGAAATTACTTATTATAGCCTACAGGAGGTCAGCGGGGTCACCTGGAGGAAATCAGCAGAAACCGCCTGAAAAAGACCACCTTCTTGCTTTTTACAATGTAGTAGATGCAGCAAAACTGCTGGGACAATATCAGGAAAACATCAAAGATACAGATAGACCACACCGCAAGCAAAACACCTCAAATGAATACTACTACTGTCAGGACAAAGTATATTCAATGACCCATTTATATCTAAATTATGACCGATTCATGTAAATGAACCTGTTCACCCTTCTCCGGGAGTTTTGATTGACAGGTGATCTGACCAATCATGACGCCGAATATACCATTTTGTCTGACAAACAAATCAGACAGGAGAGTAGACTAACATCGGTGGACTTAAACTTGAGAAATGGCGTGTACTGACATCTTTTCGCGGTTGAAACAAGATACCTTCTGATGTTCATTCATGTTTATTTTGTGCTATAACTAGTAAAGAGGAAGAGATGAACGGTTCACATGCCGCTTGAACTGACGTGCTACAGCGATCCGTCACGACACATTAAAGAGCCACAAAACGGTATTTATAGTTTGAAGTTTTTAAAAAAATGACAAAATTTGAAAGCTGAGACTTTGTTTCATACTCTGTCTTGTCTGTCGGCACGTTGTCAGTTTCCTCTTTGCGATGTATTTTTCACAGCGTGAGAACATGATGTGTGGTGTTAGAGCGCCATGGCTTGTCGGACGTAGCAACAGTAACTAAGGGGTGCGGGTCTTGGCGAAGGGTCAATTCAAACTGAAATTTTTCAATGATTCGTCTCTATGCACAGAAGTCTGTCTTAATACTAAAACAATTTGTTAAACACTGCCATTCATCACTGTTTTTAACTCTATTCTAGTTGTATTTAGCGTTCATTTAAGTGTAATGCTGTCACTCTAATCAAGATCCATTCATTTGAAACCCTTGTTCTTTAACCAGAAATACTTCTCTGATTAAATTATACAATCCATTTATGATGATCTGATCTAGTTTAAGATACAGTACATTGTCCCTTTGAATAGCTTAGAAGCACTTTGTGTAAGTTGCTTGTATAGTGCAGTTTTTTAAAAGCTCCTTTTAGAAAGGGCAGTGTGACTGTATGTTCTTTAACTATGTTAAATCATGAGTCTCTTGTAGCTTGAGACTCTACAGTTTCACAGAACACTGGATCAGTCACATTAAATGTGATTAGAGCAAAACAGGCGGGGGATTTCAGCAGTTTCCCTGGAGAAGAAGGAAAATCTCATCACTTTTATTACCACTGTGTCTCTGTTCCTCTTCACTGTAAATAAGCTTCATCAGAGAGCAAACTACATCTACACAAAACACTTTAATCCAACACGCGTTACCATGCCAACCGGAATTTGGCAACGGCACGCTGTTCCCAGGCATGGATGCATATGCCGAGAGAGTGACGCAGCAGTAAAAAGTGTCAAACCGATGGCCGGAGAAAATCATCAGACACACACACACACACACACTTGAACGAGAGTCCAGACTCTGGATTTGCTTTAACCTGCACAAACAAATGAGGAACAATTATTGTGCTTTATCACAATAATGCCACTTGCAAAGCTAATGCTTTAAGTTCAATAAACTTTGTGAACTCTATAATATTTATAAAGGTTATGAAGGAGTGTTTTTAACAAAAATTTAAATCATCATTTACTCAGACTCATGTTAATACAAACTGTATGACTTTCTTTCCTGTTAATTTGTTCATTAATTAATTTGTTTGATCTTTAATTTTTTGTTTTTCCATCTTTCATTTTTGTTAATTCGTTAGTTTGTCCCTTTGATTTTCTTTTTGTTTGTTTGTTCATTTATTTATTTTTTTTTAATTTATGAATTCATCCAGAAGTTCAGTCTATTTATTCAAACTGTTTGTTTCTTTTGTTATTCATTTGAACTTTTTAAAATGTTGCTCAATTGTTCATACAGGCAATTCTTTAGTATTTATTTATTTATTTTTAATTATTTATATTTCAATTATTTGATCTTTCCTTTTTTATTTTTGTTTATTCTTTTGTTACTTTGTTCCTTTTATCTTTTTTTGCTCATTTGTTCATGCAGTTTTACAGTCCATCCATCCATCCATCCATCCATTCATTCAGTCATTCATCCATCCATCCATCCATCCATCCATCCTAAATGGTTGTTTGTTTGATTTTTCTATTTCTTTTGTTCATTTGCTCATTCCAGCAATTGTTGAACAAATGTTTGATCATTTTCATTTGTTTTTTTTTCCTGTTTATTCTTTTTTTGTTTATTTGATCTATTTCATGTGTTCCTTTGTACATCCTGTGTACAATAATGCTACCCAACAAACTATTGTTTTAAGTTCAATAAACTTGGGGCCTGTACCATGATGGTGGCTATTTATTTCAATTATTTGATCCTTTCTTTTTTATTTTTGTTTATTCTTTTGTTACTTTGTTCCTTTTATCTTTTTTTGCTCATTTGTTCATGCAGTTTTACAGTCCATCCATCCATCCATCCATTCATTCAGTCATTCATCCATCCATCCATCCATCCATCCATCCATCCATCCTAAATGGTTGTTTGTTTGATTTTTCTATTTCTTTTGCTCATTTGCTCATTCCAGCAATTGTTGAACAAATGTTTGATCATTTTCATTTGTTTTTTTTTCCTGTTTATTCTTTTTTTGTTTATTTGATCTATTTCATGTGTTCCTTTGTACATCCTGTGTACAATAATGCTACCCAACAAACTATTGTTTTAAGTTCAATAAACTTGGGGCCTGTACCATGATGGTGGCTGAACAAACTTGGGGTTACAGGATTAGCTTTGAGTTGACAAAATTAAACCAGTCCAATCCGGCTTTGTTGGTACCATGAAGCTGATCATCAACTTTCTCTGTCAACTCAGGCTTGATCCTGAGTTAATGGAGCACGTGCACATGAAAGAGTGACATCAGTAATGAACAGCCAATCAGACGCCTTGAAACTGTGATTCACTTCTTGAGAAAGTCAGTGCGATTCACTACCAAAGATTAAAATATTGAACAATATGAAGAATTTAAACACATTTACAAGATGAAACGATCTATCCATCAAAGAGGAAAACTTAAAGAAAACATCTTGCCTTATAAGTGAAAGTAAAAGTTGTAAAGTTAGTTCATAGAGTTGATAATATTTAGAGGTATAAAAACACTTAAAAATCTAAGCTCATATGTAGTCATGTTTAAAGCTATTGATTCTAAAACGTATTTATATTGCATATTATCTATATGTTTATATTAATTTAAAATAAAAGCTTAATAATTACTATTAAACTAAGATAGTTTGTGTAATGGATTAAGGGTATAATAATTATATAAATCATATAAAATAATTATAAAAAAATAATCATCTCTAAATTCCGACAATTTTATCTTTAAAAATGTTTTACTAAGTAGCGTCCTTTAATTTGGAGTAAGAGAAACTGGGGGAGTGGCTTTATTGCGTCAGACATGTGTCACTTTGCTTGAAGCTGATTGGTCAAATTTCGGTTTGAGATCTCTAAACCAGAACATAACCTGAGCAGGTTAGCCATGGAGTATAAGTTACTATGGTAATGAACGCAGCTAAAAGCCAAGCCACTTTCATGGTACCTAAAACCCAGGATTGGTGCAAACTAAACTGAAACTTACCTGGCTAGCCAGCTAAACCGGCTTCATGGTACAGGTCCCTGGACTCTTAAATCATATTTATAAAGGTTCAAAACAGAGTGCATCATAAGAAAAAAAAATCAGTTTTACTCACACTCATTACAACCTGTATGACTTACTTTCTTCTGTGGAGCACAAAAGGAGATTGAGTTTATACAAAATGTTTGCACTATTCTTTTCCAATCCTTCTCAAGTCATATGAGCTTTCATTATATGTAAAAGAGCAGAATGAATCATTTTTCAAAATTTCAGTTCCGCAGAAGTGAGAAAGTCACACCAGGTATGAAATTACATGATGCGACAAAGTGCCAAGTTGTTTTAAAATGCTATTGTGAACTACAGCATAAGAAAGGAGAGGGAGAGCCAAAACACATTAGCAGATGACATCATGCTTTATTTATCTACAATTAGAGCAACTCAATCAGAGAGTGTGAAAGAAAGAATGAGAGCGATTGAACGCATGAGTGTCCATTCAAAAAGAAAGAAAGAAAGAAAGAAAGAAAGAAAGAACTGGAATAAATAAACTAATTACAAAATAAATAAAAAATTTAAACAAACAAATAATGAACAATCACAGGAATTAACAAATAAATTAAAAAGAAAGATCAAATAAATAAAGGAATGAACAAAATAAAATAATGAAAATGAAAACATTTAAAAGAAAGGAAGAAAGAGACTTCAATTTCAGGAAAACTAAACAATTGAAGAAATTAACAAATAAACAAACAAAATCAAATAATCAAAAGAAAAAAATGAAAATGAACATCCATTTAGAATGAATGAATGAATGAATAAGCAAAAAAAAGATCAAAGGAACAAAATAACAAACGAATGAAAATAAAAAAGAAAGATCAAATCATTGAAAAAACAAACAAACATACTGAAGAACTGCATGAACAATTGAGCAAAAAAAAGAACAAATGAATAACAAAAGAAACAAACAATTTGAATTAATAAATGCATATTTATGAATAATTGGATAAATAAATGAATAAATCAATCAGTAAATGAACAAACAAAAAGAAAATCAAATGGACAAACTAATGAACAGAAGGAAAAACAAAAATCAAGGTTCAAACAAATGAATTAATGAAGA